GAAACCGAACCTGGTTTTAGTCACCATTTTATGTTCAGGGTTTGGGTGGTGCTGCACCCCCAGGAGATGCTCAAGAAATATCTAAAAGGAACTTCAGCATCCACTGCTTGGGCCAGTGCTGCTGCTGCTTGCATAAAATAAGAGTCTAGAACTTTTTTTTTTTTTTTTGTGAGACAGAGTTTCAAGCTGTTGCCCTGGGTAGAGTGCTGTGACATCACAGCTCAAGGCAACTTCAAACTCTTGAGCTTAAGGGATTCTCTTGCTTCAGCCTCCCAAGTTGCTGGGACTACGGGTGCCCATCACAATGCCTGGCTATGTTGTTGTTGTTGTTGCAGTTGTTGTTTTAGCTGGCCCAGACCCGTTGGAACCCGCCAGCCTCGTATATGTGGCCAGTGCCCTACTCACTGGGGTACGGGTGCCGCCCTGAGTGTAGAACTTTTATATCCTGTCCAGATTATTTGTGCCAATGACATGATGACTCAGATTGCACACTGGACTGGTGCAAAGCAATGATTTCCTCTGGCTTCACAACAGTTTTGGTTGGCATTACCTGGGCTTGGTTTGTAGTCCCAAGGATAACCAGGTTAGTGGTGAGATGCAGATTGTAGGGAACCATTCAGTAGTGTCTTTCAGCTGACAGGGGCACATTGGCTAGATCAAGCCAGGGACACAGTTGGCAGTTGGCCTGACTTTCATTGAGATTCACATGTTCTATGCTGTTCTCCTTCAGGATCCACACCCTCATGCATGTCCACAGTTAAGCAAAATTCTGACACGCCTTTGTCTCCCACTTGTCATATGAGTGTGGAAGTGAACAAAAAAGACATTACAACAGGCAGGGTCTGTCAGGAAGTGCAAAAATGTTTCTTGATAAATCAAAATGCAGTTGTTAATGAGTTATTTGAGGCATCCCTCATGGCTGATCGTGTTCCTGTTGCCACATTGTGAATGAGGACAGCCAGTCTGAGAAAAAAAAAACTGAAAACCACACAAGAGGGGCCTCAGAGGGCCATCTAGGACCCTGCGGTTTCCTCCCAGGCTGGTTTCCCCTCACCTTTTTCCCAACCCAGGGACAAGCCTCCAAAGGGCTTCTCTGGGATCTTGCTATTTTACTTCCAGAATCTGGCATTAATTTGCTATTCTTTAAACAACTCTTTTTTTTTTTTTTTTTTTTTTTTTTGAGACAGAGCCTCAAGCTGTCCCCCTGGGTAGAGTGCCATGGCATCACGCTCACAGCAACCTCCAACTCCTGGGCTCAAGCGAGTCTCCTGCCTCAGCCTCCCAAGTAGCTGGGACTACAGGCGCCCGCCACAATGCCTGGCCATTTTTTGGTTGCAGCCATCATTGTTGTTTGGTGGGCACGGGCTGGGGATTCGAACCTGCCACCTTAGGTGTATGTGGCTGGCGCCTTAGCCGCTTGAGCCATAGGCGCCAAGCCTAAACAACTCTTGATACATCTGGAGTGCCCCATTTACTTGGGCATTTTGGCAACTCTATTTGAAAGAAAGGTCTTAAGTTTTTGATCAAAACCAAAAGTTCCAGTGCTTCGCAGTAGGGACCATGGTATAGCTTTGCATTCAACTCCCACGTCGTCCCCTCACCCCAGCACAGCGCCTTGCTCAGTAAACACCGTTAGAGTTTGTAGGTGTCCCTACTTTCTCTGTCATCTGTTCTTATTCCCAGAAAGACCAAGAACTCAAATTCTCCCTTTTGGGGGAGGAGTCATGTCCATGACAGCCCCTTCACCCTTGCCTTAAGAAAGCGCTGACTTCAGCTTTCCTTTCCTCAGAAACGTCAAAGAAAGGAGATGAAATTGGTGAAGGTGAGCTGATTCTTCCCTAGTGGGCAGTCAGGTTCCCAACCCGCAGGAACTGTTCGCTTTCCGGAACTGGGTTTTCTCGAGGGCGTGATGTAGCGACCAGTGTGCACTGAACTTGGATTCAGAAGACTGGATTGCAAGTTTGAACACCACCACTTACCAGCTGCGTAACTTTAGGCAAGTCGCTTTAGCTTTCTAAACTTATTACCTATTCACAAGGTGGCTGGCTTGAAATGAGTGCGCCTTAATTTTATTCCATTACGGGTGCTACCCATATTTAAGAGTTTGTACTTAAAGAGACTCTTAAAATAGAGAGGGAGAGAGAGGTTACAGGAAGTATCTACTGACCCGTTTCCAGAGGAGGTTTAGGAGAGGCCTCTCTGGACTGGCCCCAGGCATCTTCGGGGAACCTGCCTGGCCTCCGCCCCCACTCGACTCCGCGCGCACCACGGACTTAGGCAGCGCAGCTCCTATGGGAGGTGTGAGTGGTTGGAAAGCTCCGAAGAATTTCAGAGGGTCAGTCACTCCCATTTACTCTAATGTGCTTTCAAGACTCCTCGGTGGGGCCTCCTCCTCGGGGAAGAGTGGCAGCCACAAACCGCGCGGTTCCCACTCGATCCGAACGCCCCCGGCCGGCGCCTTGCCCTCCGTGCCCTGCTCGCCCGTCACTTGGGTGTCCAGGAGCTCCCCCTCCGGGCGGCGCCTGGCGACCGCCTGCAGGGTTGGCAGCAGCGCCAGCCGCGGGACGGCCAGGACTAGTCGCCCGCCCGCCGGCTTCCCGCCCACGTGCCGGAGAGAGGAGCGAAGCTCCAGCAGTCGCCGGGCGCGTGCTTGCCGCCGGTGGATGCCTCACCTAGGGGGCCGGCGGGGGCCAACCCGAGCCCTTCCGCCGGGATCCACATTTGCATAATTCGGCTTCCCCCACTTCTTTCGGATTCAGGGTTGGAGATGAGAGTCGGGCTCCCCTCCGAGACGTCGTCTTGTCCATGGTCAGCGCGGGGACCGCGGGACCTGCCCGAGCTCAGGCGGAGCGGGCTGGCACACGTGGTAAGAGCACAGCTTTCTTCTTTTTTATAAGAAAAGAGACTTTTCACGGTTTTGCTGGGCGTGAGGTACCCACACGGGTGCTAACCTTGTTGCGATTTCTTTCTTTTCCCTTTTATTTTTATCCCCAATTGGAAAAGAGCGCGCAGTGAGATCGAAAAACTTTCCCAAATTTGCTCTGGGCGCTGGAAGCCAGAGAGATGGCCGGCCGCCAGAGACCAGCTTTGTCAGTGGGCAGGGGGAAAGCAGCGGTCGGGTGGAGGAGTAGAGGCAGCTCCTGGTCTCCCCAGAGCCTCTGACAGGCGCTTGCGGGGCGGGCTGGGAGCTTGCCCGCCCGCAGCGGCCGCGGCAGGTGAGCGGCCAGACAGCCGCCTGCAGCGCCGCGCTCCGTCCACGGCGTGGCGCTGTGGCTCTCGCCCGCCCTGGTCCCCAGGAGGCTGGGGTTGCTCCGCGCCGGGAGCGGATAGAAAAGGGACGCACCAGGCCCGCGAAGTTGCCCGTGTTCTCTGTCCCTACCTAGCTCCTCTAGCTTTGGAGCGGGAAAGGACAGGGGCAGTTCAACTCCTCAAACGACCAAGGGGTAGGCAGGCAGCGGCGCGCCGGGCTTGGGGGCCCAGAACCAGCCTCCACATAGGCCCTGACCAGCCCTGGAGAGGGCTGGGGCGCGCTGGGAGGTGGAAGCGTGCGTCCAGTGAGCCAGAACCTGCCTCCCGCTGAACCTTTGAAAAGTTTTGAAAAAATGCTTTGGGAACTAAACAGAAAGGTTTCCACTGGGGTCTCCTTTTTACTCGCAAACGGAAACGCATCTGGGGTGATGGCGGCTTGAAACTGGCATTGGAGACGCGGTTTGCTGTCACTGGCAACCGCGCTGGGCTTACCGAGGTGTCTCTTGGCAAGGGAGAAGGAGAATATTTCTCCTAGTGTGTGTGTGTATTATGGCTCACTCGAGTTTGGGCAGGGCGCGCCCTTGGAGCATGGGCTGTCGGGGATCGGGGGATTCTGTGACTGCCGGGACAAGAGGTGAAGGTGAAGACGGTGTCCAGCAGAGTACCCTTTCCCGCGAGCTCAGGCGCCCGCTCTGCTGCCCCGGCACCCTGTTGCGGAGGCGGGCGCACGGGCGCACACTGTCAACAGGGAGGTGTGTAGCGTAAGGTGTGTGAGTGGGTGTGTGAAGAGGGCAGCGGGGGCGGGAGTGTGTAGCGGAAGTGGAGCGAGTGTGAGTGTGTGTGTGGCGGGGCAGGGTGAGTGTCCAAGCCTCCATCTGGACGCCCCCACGCAGCCGCCCGCCCAGACGCGCCGGGAAGGGCGCCCGCTCCGCGCAGCAGCTGAAGGGGGGCGGGGAGCGCGCGGGCAGAGGAAGGAGGGTGTCTCCGCTGAGGATTTCTCTCGAAGCTCCCCACAGTTATTCTGCTTCTCCTAGGGTCTCCCCCCAAGCCCCAAGGTGCCCAAAATACTTAAACAAATAAACAACCCCAAACTGTTCCGTTTTCGCTCCTGTATAAATAGAACAGACTTTCCAAAAAAGCAATACCGTATTCATTCTTATCACCAGCCACTTCTTTCCACCAAGTAATTCAGAAAAAAGCAGTCAGCTTCCGTGAATGCGTGTAGCTTTTTTTTTTTTTTTCTTTGCTGCCTTCTTTTGGTTGCGGTTTTGAGCTGCCAAGAAAGTGAGTAGGGGTTTGACTATAGTGTCTCGGCTGGGCTCGGTTTCTTTCCGAAGTTTAATTTTCCGGAATGGCTCCCAAACAAGGGCTGGGGAGGCGGAGCCGCAGGCACCGGATCTTCGCCTTTTTTGGAAAGTCCCGGAGAACCGGAATTCCTCCCAGCCCCAGGAGGCCAAGCCGCAGCTCCGACCGGCTCGCTCTCTCGCAGTGCCCACACCGGGGTCCGTAAAGTGCCCCTTCCCTGCCGAGGCCTTCGCCCAGGACCAGGTCTGCGACTTGGGCCGCGCGCCTCGGACCCCGGTAGATCCCTGCAGGCTGCGAGTCGGTAGCGCCGCGGAGCCCGCGCGGCGGAGCCCGTATGCAAATCAGCCATGTGACGGCAAAAGCCGCCTGGCCCAGCCCTGTTCCTCAGTCCATATATGGGCAGTGACGTCACGGGCATTGAAGACCTGCCCATAAATACTTAGAGCAACACTTTCCGTCTAACTGAGGGAGCAGCAATTGATTAATAGCTCGGCAAGGGGACACACTGACTGTTATAATAACACTACACCAGCAACTCCTGGCTTCCCAACAGCCGGAACACAGGAGAGAGTCAGTGGCAAATAGACATTTGTCTTCTTTCTTAAAAAAAAAATCAAGCAACTTGTTTGCTAGTTTTATTTCTGTTGGGATTTTTTGTTTAATTTTTCTTTTTTTGGTGGTTGTTTTTAATTGTGGAGGGCGAAAGGAGATACGAATCCAGGCTCAGTCCAACTCCTCTCCAAAACGGCTTCTCAGACACTCCAGGTAGCGAGGGAGTTGGGTCTCCAGGTTGTGCGAGGAGCAAATGATGACCGCCAAGGCCGTAGACAAAATCCCAGTAACTCTCAGTGGTTTTGTGCACCAGCTGTCTGACAACATCTACCCGGTGGAGGACCTCGCCGCCACGTCGGTGACCATCTTTCCCAATGCTGAACTGGGAGGTCCCTTTGACCAGATGAACGGAGTGGCCGGAGGTAAGCCGCGTGTCTTTTTCGCAGACCCAGACCTGCGCGTCTGGGAGGTAGTGGGTGGGGTGCAGTGGGTGTGCGGGAACCAGAGGAGAGGACTGGGGCTCGAGGTGGACAGTGCTAACTGCACTGGCTTTGAAGACTGAAAATGGGTGCAGGGGGAGCCCACGAGAGTAGGGACCCGGGAGCTGGAGCTGGGCGCGCGGGCAGATGCGCCAGGTTGCCAGCAAACCCGCGTGCGTGCGCCCTGGCGGGCCCAGCCCCGGCCGAGCGCAGGGATGGGGGTGGAAGAGGCACCCATCCCGGCTTTGAGGTTTGAGCAGGCCCTTCTGCCGGCGGCGCTTCCATCTCCCCTTTCCAGGGATAGGGGCAAAGTGATGGTAAAGTTCAGGGTTCCAGGGGAGAGCTACGCGTCTGGAGAGCCGAGCGGCGGAGAAGCGCCAGAGGAAAGCGTCCATAGCACCCTCCCTGGCAGAGCCGACTCCAAGAAAATCTCGGAGCGCTCTCCTCCTGGGGCCTGGAGGCGTGCCCCCACCTGCGCGCCGCCCGCGAAGTTGAGGGGGTTAGCCAGGCGGGGGCTCCGGCCGACGGAGGCTGGGAGTAGGTGGTGGAGAAGGGCGGGCAACGGCGGGAAGCAGCCCCCGGACTGCAGAGGGAGGCCCGCGGGGGCACCGGCGCCGCCGGTTTCCTTGGCGATACTGTGGAAAGTCGTCTCCCGCGGCCCCCGCGCCTTCCTCGAAGCCCGGCCGCTGGCCTTCAGCTGAGGCGGGGACACGCAGAAGTCAGGGAATGAAGAGAAGGTTGGGAGGGAAGGAAAACCTACGGACTCCTTCTTCTGGTTCTCTCCTGCAGCCATCAGCTGAAGTGCAGCGGGAGGGGAGGAGAGAAGGATGGGGAGCAGCGGGGAAGCCGATCCTCCCTCTTGTACTCTCTCCTTAGTTTAGCATCTTCGTGGCATGGGCTTGGATCGGTTGATTCTTGGGTGGTATCTGTCCTGGTCCTTCAGCCTTGGGACCCCCGGCAAAACAGAGGGAGAGAAGTTCGGGGCAGAGGGGAATTTTTTTTTTTTATATTGTTGCTATTATTGGGTGTTTTTATTGGGACTAAAGCCACAGATGGCTGGCAGAGAGGAGTTGGGAGATCATTCTGCTTTTCCGGAGGTAGTTCTTGAGTCCCAGACTGTCACTGGGTGACAATAGGAGCTTGGGCTAGCCTGTTCTGTCTCTGGGTATCAATTTGCCCACTTTTGGACTTGGCCCCAGCTGGACAGTGCTGGGATCCTGGGCCTTGAGAGTGGATCTGCGTGAGAGGGGGTGAGAAAGGATTCTTGGCTGCATGCTCATTACTCCACCTCCATTCTGCTTTTCCCTCCTCAGATGGCATGATCAACATTGACATGACTGGAGAGAAGAGGTCCTTGGATCTCTCATATCCCAGTGGCTTTGCTCCTGTCCCTGCACCCAGGAACCAGACCTTCACTTACATGGGCAAGTTCTCCATCGATCCCCAGTACCCTGGTGCCAGCTGCTATCCAGAAGGCATCATCAATATTGTGAGCGCAGGCATCTTGCAAGGGGTCACCTCTCCAGCTTCGACCACAGCCTCATCCAGTGTCACCTCTGCCTCACCCAACCCACTGGCCACAGGACCCCTGGGTGTGTGCACCATGTCCCAGACCCAGCCTGACCTGGACCACCACCTCTACTCTCCACCACCGCCTCCTCCTCCTTATTCTGGCTGTGCAGGCGACCTCTACCAGGACCCCACTGCGTTCCTGCCATCTACCACTTCCACCTCTTCCTCTCTGGCCTACCCACCACCTCCTTCCTATCCGTCCCCGAAGCCAGCCACGGACCCTGGTCTCTTCCCCATGATCCCAGATTATCCTGGATTTTTTCCATCTCAGTGCCAGAGAGACCTACATGGTACGGCTGGCCCAGACCGCAAGCCCTTTCCCTGCCCCCTGGACACCCTTCGGGTCCCCCCTCCACTCACTCCACTGTCTACCATTCGTAACTTTACCCTGGGGGGCCCCAGTGCCGGGGTCACAGGCCCAGGGGCCAGTGGAGGCAGTGAGGGACCCCGGCTGCCTGGCAGCAGCTCAGCAGCGGCCACTGCTGCAGCCTATAACCCACACCACCTGCCACTGAGGCCCATTCTGAGGCCTCGCAAGTACCCCAACAGACCTAGCAAGACGCCAGTGCACGAGAGGCCCTACCCCTGCCCAGCAGAAGGCTGTGACCGGCGGTTCTCCCGCTCCGACGAGCTGACTCGGCACATCCGAATCCACACCGGGCACAAGCCCTTCCAGTGTCGGATTTGCATGCGCAACTTCAGCCGCAGTGACCACCTTACCACCCACATCCGTACCCACACCGGTGAGAAGCCCTTTGCCTGTGACTACTGTGGCCGAAAGTTTGCCCGGAGTGACGAGAGAAAGCGCCACACTAAGATCCACCTGAGACAGAAGGAGCGGAAGAGCAGTGGCCCCTCCACGTCGGTGCCGGCCCCTGCCACGGCCCCCTGCACTGGGGGCACACAGGCTGGAGGCGCCCTATGCAGCAGCAACAGCAGCACTATTGGCGGAGGGCCACTGGCCCCTTGCTCCTCGAGGACCCGGACACCTTGAGACGAGACTCAGGCTGACTCACCAGCTCCTTGAGGCCGGGAGGCCCTTTGTCCACTCGAACTGCAGGACAAACACTACCACCCTTCCCTGCCCCTCCTTCCCTTTGTTGGGCAGAGAGCTTTGGTGGTGCCCAGCACTACCCCACTGTCCACTTAGAAGCAAGTCCTTCCTAAAACCTGGCCCATTTTAGTCTCTCTTAGGTGAGTGGACTATCACCCCAAGGCAATGGGGAGGTCAGAGGGGGCTGGGAGGGCCTGGCCAACAGGAATGAGGTCCCACCCTGCTTCAAAGGGTTGTTTGACTAGGTTGCTCCCCTTCCCCTTATTTCAACCCATTACAGGTTTTTGACCCCGGATGCCAGAGTTGATCTAAGACTTTTTCAGCAGTAGGTTGGGAGATGCTGATTCCTTCAAGCAGGGACAGCAAAAAGACATGCAAAACTGATATGCACTTTACGGCTTGGGACTGATTTGGGGGATGCTGTACAATAAGTGAAGCATGGCCTTTATGCTGCATTCCATGGCCCTAGAACAATGAATCAAAGCTTATCTAGTCGTCTCAACCCTTTAAGCAATATGTATTATAAACTCAGAGAACAGAAGTGCAATGTGTTGGGAGAGACATAGCAATATCTGCTCCTTTATGAGTTGAGAAATGTAGACTATTTTTTCAGTGTATATCCACTCATATTTTGTGTATTTTTGATGTACACTGTTCTCCAAGTTCAGAACCTTTGGGAAAAAATTTAGAGCATTTATGATCTCTTGAAATGGGTCAGAGATTAACTTATTTAAGAGGGATGTATATATATATTCTCTGAAACTAGGATGCATGCAATTGTGTTGGAAGTGTCCTTGGTGCCTTGTGTGATGTAGACAATGTGACAGGGTCTGCATGTAAATGGATTGCCTTACTATGGAAAAAAATAATTACGCCCTGGGTTTAGTATGGCTGTATATTTCTGCTTATTAATATTTGGAATTTTTTTTAGAAAGTATATTTTTGTATGCTCTGTTTTGTGACTTAAAAGTGTTACCTTTGTAGTTAAACTTCTGATAAGAATGTACATAATGTTACTGGAGCTGATTTGTTTGGTTATTAGCTCTTAATAGTTGTGGAAAAATAAATGATCTAACATAAAACCACTAACTGAAGTTCAGATAATGGTTTATGACTATAGTGTAAATAAATACTTTTCAACAATATTTTTGTTGCAGAAATCATTTCTGAAATACTTGATGGGAATCAGTCTTTCAACACTTGTGGGATTAAAAAACAGCACTGAGCACTAGTGGGTTGAAGTGCTTTGACCAAGCCAAGACTTCCAAGTTTTCTTTGCTAGCCTGTGGACAGCACCCCTCTCACTCCAAAGCAATCTCCATTCATAATCAAACACTAGTGTTCTGGGGATTTCCCCCATGCATTAGTGTAAAAGTGGGGAGGCGTTGTTTTGACTCATTGTTCCGTCCTCTCTAACAGCCTATAGCTTCTCTCTGCTCCTGAGTGGGCTCCGGAAAATAAATACTTACAAACAAGTGCCCACTCGGAGATTACACATTTGCAACTGCTTTCAGAACCCTGACCAGGGCCTGGAACTCAGGCGAGATGTGGCTTTGTGGAAAGTGTGGTGGCGTGGTCAAGTTGGAAATGACTTTCAGGTTCCAGGATTAGTCTTATGACCACAGAAAACTTTTTTGAAAAGCGCTATCATCTCTTCAGATCAAAAATGCTCTCAGACGCTGCTGATGACAGCATTAACGGGTTGCCAAAGGAATTACCCCGGGACTCAACTGTCACCAACCTTTACTTCTTAATTGATTACCCCCATAGGAAAGGATCATTGATCTGCTACAGTTTTGGTGGGTCTCCAAGTGACTATCAAAACACCCTGCTCATTACATAAAATAAGTGTACGCCAGCCTCAAGAAATCTCCAAGATCTCAATATAGTATTCCTGGTTTAAAAAAAAAAAAAGTTAAAGAAAAGTTTAAGAAAGACAATCTAGATTCAACAGGCAAATATGGTCCTCCATGATACTGGGTAATGGTTTGCAAAAAATATAGCATAGGGTTCATTTTACTGTAAGCCTTTCATAGTGATTCTAAAATATAAATTCACAAAACAAGTTAATTTACCTGTCATACAAAACAAACATAAATATTAAGTTCACCTATTTCTGGCTTCTTACAGAAATGTAACACATTGGGGCATCCACTGTCTAATCTACAATATGTGAAAATCCCTTCATTTGTCCTTCACCACTATCAAGACTCCCTCAGACTTGGCTGGTAATAAAGCCTGGGTTTCAGAATAGCAGGGGCTTACATTTACCCCAGGAAACCATCTTGTGTCCCTACCAGCACTAAATTTTGAGATCCAATTTGTGGAGATAATTAACCCTTTTCTGTTGTATCTCCTTTCTCCACCCTTATTTCAAGGATGAAGACGACCTTTTTCTGTCACCATTAACTAGAGGTTTCAAACCTTCAGTGTCAGATTTTTCTAGTAGCTGGTATTTCCGATAAGATTCTTAGTGCCTAGCTCATCAGCAAAGAATCATCCTTGCTTGTCCTACTTTAGTAAAGACAATTCTACATTTTGATAATTATGTATTTTTAACAAGTACTTCTCTAAGATTTCATTATGTTAAAATATAGTATGCCCAAATTTTGTAAGATATGTAATTGTCTTGCTGAATTTTAGAGTATCATGAATCAAGATAATCTATTCTAAACTATTGTTTACAAAGGAAGAAACTAAGCCATTTTAAAAATGAGATTAAAGACATTTTGGTGATAGCAAAATCAGTTACATAATCACTTTCACCTAGATGTGTGCTTAGTGAGGTAGTGTTAACACACATAAGGAACACACTTCAATATTTTCTCAGCGCTAACCTTTTGGCTTTTTCTCCTAGATTTCAACCTGTAAGGCTAGTATCTTTCCTCAGATTTTGCTCTCTGCTTAAAATAGTACAGGCACTTTTCACAGGTGACTCCTTTTTTACTTTGCTCAAAAACAAACCCTAGAAAAGCAAGTCTACTCTTGATCTCTTACCTACGATGCTTAACCAAATATTCCTGATGTTTCAGTGGTTTTTATTCAAAATTAATTTCTGGAGGGTAATTGCTTAAGATTCATAATGCTTTTGAGAGTGTTTAATTCAAATTAAAGATTAGGCTGATTATACCCACAAAAGGTTTTCAAGTGTTCATAAACCAGGATGTTTAATTTTAACATCCTAATTGCTAATGATCTGCAAATTGTTTCATATATTTTAAAAATGACTGCAGTGACCACCCGTCCAGACTACAAATAACACATTCTATGGGAAAAGGAAAAAAAAAAATGAGAAAAGAAAATATTTAAGTCCTAAGATGTTTTCCTTTTAGTATTATTTTTGCTTTCTTATATTAAATAATACTAGCTTAAGGTTGAATATATTAAGAAGTTTTTTCTATCCTAGGGAAATAGTATTAGACATTAAATAGTTTCAGATGTATTTCAGACTGTTCAAAGCTCACTCTCAAAGAAATAAACTACTAATTTTAAGTGTACATTATTACTTGGACTTTAGATATCTGCAGAAGCAACCAGTTTTTAGTACAACATAATCTTAAAGTACAGGCCTTGAATCTTTAATGGCAATCAAAACGTAGATATCATAGCAGGTAATGTTTTCCTTGTCCATTTCGCAGTAATCAAGTAAGATTTATCTCTAAGCAATTTTAAACATGCTTTTATTTTCCTTAAGTACACCAATTTTAAGCTAGAAAAGCAAGCATCCCTGGATTCAAAGATTCAGTAACTGTACTGGGCTTAACAAATGGTTTCCTTCCTTGACAGTAGATGCCTCACTGCAAGCAAAGTGATCGGTATTTGGCTTCTGTATTTAACCTTAAGTACCAAATTTCGGCCTGCACAGTTACAGGAGGAGCACTACCTTCAGGTTAGAGTTGAGTAGGAACAGGCAGAGCCCTGAGTTAAAGATACACTGTTGCTTCATCAGGCAGCAGAGTTAAATCACAGGATTCAGAATCATTCATAATACACAAGTGATGACAGAGTCCTCCTGAGATGCCAACACCAAGAAACCAACAAGTTGACAATGAAAAGGGGGAATAAAAGGTGTGCATTTTGGGAGACGTTAAGGGCTTTTAGAACTCACTCCTGTTGACAATAAGCATTACAAAGTAGGCTACCATTTTCCTTAATAAGCAACAGTTTGGTATAAACTCAATCCTTTCAAATCAGGCTTAGTAAAAATCAATTCTCATAAAGTAGTAGGTACACAATATTCTACACAGATATAACTGGTCATGGCAATAACTACAGAATTTAAAAGCTTCAGAAGTGTTTTAGACAAATAACTTCTCACCCATGAGAGGCAATTATTGCATTTATTATTCAACAGAAAAGTGGTTAATATTGTGCTTATTAGTCTTTCCTAAGGGAAGAAAACTTTTATCCCACAGTTATTAAAACATAATCTATATTGCAGGATTATATGGAAACACAATAGCAGCACATGAAGTCAGTTATGATTAACAGTTTATGCATAGAAGTGCAAGGTTTTTCCTCCATTACATTTGTCTTTATAGTAAGCATAACCTTTCCTTAGTGGCTTGGCTCACTAAAACAAGTTACATTTTGTTTTCACCATTAATTGACTCAGAACTTTAGTGTACCAAAAACATCACTGTTCTTATTGAATGAAATTAGAGATAATCATATTGCTGTTTGGCCTCCAACAATTTCAGTTACTCTTTTGAAAAGCACCTTCATTTTTTTTCTTCCAAATTGCTTGGAATCAAAGACTTTAACATTTTTTTCATAATGAAGTATTTCATTATAATTACTACTGTCCTGTGGCTGGGATATTTTTGTAGGTTAGTTTAATGTACTCCAGGCTGTATTGTAACATACACATTGTTATAAACAATCTTCGTAAACTATCAACTTTTTGCTACAACCCCCAAAAGTATGTGATCAATATAATCACATTCATTACTGCACTAGGAAAAAAGAAAACATATTACAGTTTTCTAAGAAAATCATTTGCGTATCTAGAATTTATTTTCAAAGTGAGTTGCATGAAGGGGTGCTTTAAACTGCCCCCAGTGCATTTTCAAACCACACCAAAATGTGAAGCTACAATAAAAAAAAAACTCAGCAACTCTGCAGTTGTTGCAGAAATGACTTGTGCTTTGCCTGTGTCAGGTTTTACAACATAGTGGCATGTCATGTTGAATTAGCATCTTTTTTGTTACAAAAAAATTTATCAGGGATTTAATTTTTCACACTCAATATTTAAGAAATTGAGAATGAATTCTCCTTCACCCTGGGTCTCTGTACCTCAGTGTCCATGAATAGGCAAAGCCAGATACTGTTTCCCCACAGGGTCAACACTTTCCACCAATTGCAAACCTCCTTTTATTGCAGATATTAGAACTCAATTACCACATGGCCAAATCAGTCAAGAGGGCTTAGACAACAGCTGGACAAATTTTAATGTGTTTATTTCTATAGTTTGTTTTCATTAAAAGTTTTGTGAAAAAGGGAACCCTATAAATAGTAATAGTAAAAAGGGGGAAACAGTGCTCCATGGCCTGAAGCAAAGTGTCAATACCATATGTAAACAAGGTAAAGTTGCTCAGCCTATTAAAGGAACAAAATTAAAACTAGTCATAGATAGCACAACAGTTCAAGAGTTGGGAGAAGTGTTTAATTCCAAGTTTCAGTGCCCTAAAATGGCCAGTAGTAAATCCTTAATTCTTAGCCTTGATCGTCTGTGCCTTCTATCTCTTCCTGCAGAAAACCACATTAGAGGAACCACAGCACCTGCTCTCTGGTTTTAGGGAGAGGGTTGAGATAACATTGCCAGCAACACAGCTGGAAACAGCAACTCTCTGGAACATGAGAGTTCCTGAGAGAATGTGAAAACAGTCATCAACATCATGTTTTTCTCTACTTTTACAGGAAAATGTTTAAATAAAACAGGGGTATGGAATTCAACAGCTGGCTAGGAGCGTTTTACATTCAGTTGTTTGGAAGCATAACAGATTCAGTTCCTTTGAATCTTCTGGTTACAAAATAAAGAATTACCCTATAAGCTCTTAAAGTACATTACCAAAAAAGTCACTTGAGGATAATAGTCTTTGCATTAAAGGTGGATCTGCAACAAGAAATCTGCACAACTCACAGATCTGGAGACTCATAGGGAAGATAAGCTCTCAGTGAGCATCAGAGAGAGATGCAGGTGGGGAATTTCTCAGTAGAGGTTGCCTGAGTAAACTAGATGTGGCTATTGGGCAAGGGGAGGAAAGAAAATAAATCTTGTCCTCTACATGCATAGTTATGTTTTCAGGGTGACCTCTGAACAAGTGATTTAATTTTCACAAGGAATTAATTAGGCAGGACAAGTCACTTTCAAAAGTTCATCTCTTTAAACCTATTTTTACCAATGACTTGAACTAAAAACAATTCAAACCACTGGGTCACGTGTAGTCAATAATAAGTTAAAGTACAAGGAGCAATAGGGTGTAAGGGAAAACAAATCCTATTTACCGAAAGATATTTTGTATAGAATGGGAACAGAGGAAGAATATTTCCATTATGGCTTTAGGATGGAAGCGCTTTAGATTACCCCCCCCCCCGCCATTCCTCCCAAATCAAAGCCCTGGTGGCAGTGACAGTACCAGGAAACAACCTAGCCTCCCCGCCCACCCCACCCCCATAACCGTGCCCGGAGGCTGCTGTCCAGTCGCCCGTGCTTCCCAAAGCTGCCAAGGAAGCGGCTAACGCTCATTCCAGTAGATCCAACGCCCAAGCTAGGGGGCAGAGACAGAGCCCTTGTGGTGGGTCGTGGGGAACCAGGCCCAGATAGGCTAGGGCACGTTTTCGGCCCACCTCTCCCAGGCGCCGGGGACTTCAAGGGAAGACCTTAGGTCCTGGATATGGCTCTCCCTCGCACCAGAAGTCATCGGCCTGCGGGGTCTCCAGAAGCCACACCTCTCGGGGCAGGTCACAGGCCGAGCCGGAGTCCTCTTTGGACCTGATGGGCTCCAGCACCCGGTAATAGTGGCAGTCCCGGCCATCCTCTGGGTCGTAGGGCGGGGCCAGGATGTCCAGGAAGGCGGCAGGCCCGTCCACTGCATCGATCTGGTGCAGGTTGTCCCGGTGCGGCGTAAGGACGCAGGGACCGCTGGCCTCTGTGTACTCGGCCCGCGAACGCAGCACTCCCGGCCGCATGGCATCCCGCTCTCGGGGCTGCAGGGGCGGCTCGAACTGCTGCTCCGGCGGCGGGGCCCGCGGCCGCTGCCCGCCGCCCGCCTCCAGCTTGTCCATGCAGCTGATGCGCACAGTGCCGTAGAGCACCTTGAGCATACCGTGCATGCCCGGGTGGTCATGCAGCGGGATGGACGTGCCGCTCTTAAGCAGGAACACGCCCAGGCTGAAGCCCTCGGTCTCGTAGATGTGCATGTAGGTGACGGGTGGCAGGTTGGGCGGTAGCGGCTGCAGCGTGGCCTTGCGTGGGGCGATATTCAAGTCCTCGGCGCGAATCTGGGTCAGCAGGCTCTTCAGCTTGCTCAGGTTCTCCGGAAAGCCCGGCGGCATCGGCGCCTCGGGGCCAGACGCCGCGCCGCGGTCGGAAGCTCTGCGGCCGCCCCCGCCGCCCCGGAAGGTGAGGCAAGCCTGGCGGGCGATCCGTTGGATCAGGGAGGCCATGTTGTCTCGGGGCATACTCGGCTGTTCCTCCGCGTGCCGGGGCCGAGCCCCTCCTTTCCTCCGCCCCTTGCGGTCTCCTGCGGCCGCCACGGCTGTCCGCACCCCGGGTCGAGGCGGGAGGCCCCGCAAACACCGGCCCCTAGGGCGCGCGGCGCGGCCGCCAACCTTAGCCGCCAGGCACCAGCAACGGTCCTGCGCGCTGGCCTCGCGCCCCCTTCGCGCGCGCACGCGCACGGCCCACACCCGCACTCACGCGCTGGGAGCAGGTAGCGGCCGCGCGGACCGTGCCAGGCTTCGCCTTACACCCAGCGCCCCATTCATGAGGCCCGCACTTACGACGGCGGCCAGCGCTCCGGGAGCTCTGCGGAGCATGCCGGGATTTGTAGTTCGGTATTCCGTCTTCGCGCTGAGAGTGCGCTTTGTCGACTGCAAAATGGAGGGATTAATAGACGTGTTGGGCAGAAAGAGACCCTCTTCAGGGTTCCAAGGTGTTTTCTTGTTTGAAGAAAGATGAATTGGGGTGCGAGAAGTGGCCACTTAACTACAACTCCCGGCATCCCCAGCAGGTTGACGTGACGCACTTCCGGCAGCTGGAGTGGAGGTTTTTGGCCTTTCCAAGAAACAGGGCAAAAGGGTCGTTAACCTTCTGGCGCGGCTGGAGGCTAGTCAAGCATTTAGGGTCGCCTTCCTTTGACCTTGCCCTTAGGAAGAATACTTTTTAATAAGTGTTAGCTCCTCATAGCCGCCTAGTTAGCACTCTCCGCCACAGGGATTGCGGGATAGCTCTAAGTTTCCTGAGAAGTGAGGAGGTCGAAGCAGTCTCTGGGTGGTCACCACTGTTATTGTGCACAGCCGGGCCCAGCTGTTGTTTGCATTGGAGCTGATGACGCTGCTCTTCTGGTTACAGAGCACAACTTTTTTTTTTTCTGGGAGGACTTGAGAGCCCATTCCCTATGGTCATAGATTCTGAATACAAGTGGTCATCAAACTTTGGTTTTCCTGAAGAGGGGGGAGAGATTTTTATAAATACAGATTGATTCACTAGATAATTATGAGACATCCTAATACAATGGTGTGTAACAGGCTCTTTGAAGTTATTTCACAGAGGCATTAGTCTCTGTAAAGTTAACTTTTGACAGAAGTAAATGATGACTGGAAAAACAAGACATTAGATAATCATAATTTTAAACCTAACCCTGAGTATAAAGTCCTTTGGACTCCAAAGCTAAACATGGGTTTCTTGTACATTTTGTAATTGGCGTGGTTCAGTAAATCCTCTCCATTTAAAATAGGCATGCTTTTTTAGTGGGTTACATAACCTAGTTAATGAGTATTCACAATATGCCAGGCACTGTGTTAAATGTGTTATATAATGAATGCTATACTATTTAATCCTCTCAGCAACTCTTAAGAGGTAGGCACTATTATTATTATTCTCAGTTTGCAGATGGGAGAATAAGTTGTAAGATAGTGCATAGTAAGTAATCATCAAGGCGTAAGCTGCAGAGCAGAAATAAAAACGGTTTTACCAAGACCAGCAGCTTGAATTGGTGTAAAAAGCACCAAATGGAAGGGCATTCTTTTTCCAGCACACTGCCAGTTATAAACTGTGTGTCCTTAGGCAATCTCACCCTTTTAGAGCCTCAATTTGTTCATTTGTAGAATGCTAGATTTAGGGTAACAATAGTTTTGAACCTCAGTTATTCATCAGAAGCCCCTGCAGAGCTTAAAAATAAAAATCAAAGATGCCAATTTAGACAAACTGGAGTGAAGCCTAGAATTTGTTTTAAGATGCTTCTTCAAGTGATTCTGAATTATCAGCCCAGTTTTAGAATCATTGCTACATCTGTAAATAGTGAACCAGCTCTTATTAGATCCTTAGAATAGGATTCTTAAGATTGATTCGTTTTTACAGGTTGCCTTATGAAGTTATTTAAAAGTACTTTCAGTATTCACCACATAAAAAAATCTGATGCAATCTTTTTCTAAAGTGAGGAATATTTAAGGGAAAATCTCTCTTCCTTAATTTGCAAATATGGATTTTTATTGGTTTTACTTCAATGAAGATAGAATTCGTGGGAGACTTTAGTGACATAAAGATCTGCTTGATTTTCAAATCTGTCACTTCTTAATAGTTGTCTGCACTTAACTGAAGATCAAGATTTTCATCTGTAAAATAGGATAATGATACATGTATAAATCACTGATGACTTCATTTAAATCTAGAACATATGATGTTGGACAATTAAGTTTGCCAACTTACCTTAGAAAAAGTGCTCATTGCTGAATATCCCTGCAGTCACCAGATGGCCAAAGGGAGTATTTTGAAGATGACCATAGTAATATTCAGCAGTGAGGTGTGTAGCACTTCTTGTAAGATAAGTTTAAGAATTTAATTTCAGGACCTCATAGTAGCTGCCCTGTTGTCTTTTAAAATGGCTAAAAGCTGTACTTAAAGACCAAAGAATTTAAATAAAACTAAGTAAATACTGAAATTGAGTTTCACTTGTTTTGAGAATCAGCTTTAGGGTAGAGACGAAAAAAAAGATTACCTTTATTGGTTAAACTGTCTATCTGGTGGTACCATCCCATAGGTTCATCCTTTGGCCTTAGTTCAATGTTTCCAAAGTATTAGTCTTTGAAATCCCCTCTGGGTGTGTGTCCAAAGTATAAATTCCCAGATTGTGCAAAACCCACTGCATCTGAATCTTTTTCATATTAAAGTTTTTAAGAACCACTGAGTGTCCACAGGGCGTGTGGCATTTTTTTAGGGCACAGAGAGATCATCTGCATGATGTCTTTTGATGCTGCCCTTCATTCAGAGCTGCACTAATGGTTGAGATTGACCCTATGGATTTTGCCCTAGAGAAGCACTTTACTTGGTCTTCTGCCCCACTGTCAGTAGCATAGGGTAAGTAGGTTTCTGTTAGCAGTAATCTCCTTCTTTTTTATGTTCTTTATTCTGTAATTCCTCAGCTGTAAGCAGAATAAAACCAAAAGAAATTCTGAAAAGGGAGCAGACAAGAAAAGCAATGGAGAGCAAGTACTAGGAAAATGCATAGTAGAAACAAGGTTTGAGAAAAGTTTGGGATAGATACAATCTTTGATAAATGAGTATGCATGAGTACCAGGCATTGTGTTTGAAGATTCAGCAAAGAACAAGGAAGACAAGATCTGAATTCCCAAGGAATTTATCAGCAAGTATGTGTAGGTTATTTTAGGGGGGTAGAAGAAGTGTTGTACAGTACAAATAAATGAGCCACATAATTTCAGATAAAGATAACATATGAAGACAATAAAACAAGGTAATAGGATGGTATGGTATTTATGTGTGTGTGGGATGTTACTTTCAATTGGATTGTCAGGAGCGAACATAGGATAATTTGCGCTGCTCCTGTATGTTAAGGCATTAACCTTGGAAAAATCGGGGGTGAGAACATTCCAAGACTGGGAAATAGCCTGAAGATTGTTAAGGGTATTGGATACCATGACTTTGACCAGGTAGTAAGGAACTTGGTATAGTTAGGGAAAAATCTGAAGGCCTATGGAGTTAGATTGTATAGTAAGCCTCAGGGTTCTTGGAGGGAGATGAAGTTGGAGAGGAAGGCAAGGGCCATATTATGTAGGCCATACAGGTCATAGGAGAGGGGAACAGGGAGTTGTAGGCTGCGGCAGGGAGTTGGGTTTTATTATATAAGTGCAATAGTAAGGAGATGACTTGATCTGTTCTACATTTTTAAGAAGATTGGTGGTGGGACATGTATAATAGCAGAGAAACCTGGATTGGAGGCAGTAATCCAGGGGAAATACAAGCAAACTAGTGTAAAGATTAGGAATCTGTTTTGTAGGTACCCCTGGCAGGGCTGATGAGCTATTCCTGCGGCAATCTATTTCATGTTCTCTCCACATTTTCTCTTTCACAAATTGACAGCTCTGTGGTGATAGGTAAGGCTGATAAAGCTTAAATCCCACCTTCTGTCCACCTCTATTAAATTTAGGAATGGGGGAAGCACACAGAAGCATGAGTAAAGCTGATTTTTTTTTCTTTTTTACAATTGCTTAATTAACCAGGAAATAAGCAGAACTGGAAGAGCCCGCAGCCTGTATCTGTTTAACTCCACCTGCTCATTTATCTGCTGTCTTCATTCTTTGGGAACTGCTAGGCTTGTACTTTCATCCTCCTTTCCCTCCCCACCTCGCCACTTAATGAGGAAGGGTTTTCCTTAATTCACAAGATTTGTTACTTCTCACTTTTTGTTATATCTTCCTTTAGAATTCATTTTGTCCATCTGTTTTGGTGGCACTGGGACCCAGTTGAAAGAATAAAGAAGTATTAACATTCTCAAATGCTCAGAGTTCCTATCTTGCAGGTTTGTTTTGTTTTTGTTTTCAAGGTGGGGAGGAAGGTTTCTTTTCTTTTTCTTTTAAATTGTGATGAGGTTCTATTTTCCATTATTGAGAATGCTTTCTTAAAAAAAAATTGAGGTACTTTTTCTTCCATTCTTGAGATACTTTGCTATGAAGAGTATGTTCCAACTCCATCCATGTAAACATGAAGGAGGTAAAGTATCCATCTTTCTTTAAGGCTGCATGTATATGTATTCCATGGTATACATATACCACAATTTATTGCTCCATTCGTGGATCAGTGGGCACTTGGGCTTCTTCCATGATTTAGCAGTTATGAATTGGGCTGCAATAAACATTCTGGTACAAATGTCTTTGTTGTAATGTGATTTTTTGTCTTCTGAATATATACCTAGTAGAGGAATTATAGGATCAAATGGCAGGTCTATTTTTAGTTCTCTAAGTGTTCTCCAAACATCTTTCCAAAAGGGACGTATTAGTTTGCATTCCCACCAGCAGTGTAGAAGTGTTCCCTTTAATCCACACCCACGCCTACTATGAAACTAATTTATAGTTTTCATATGAAAGCTATAGCCCAGTTATAGCCCAAGAGTATGGGTAAGGGGGAGAGGGAGGGGTGGGGGGAGGATGGGTGGAGGGAGGGTGATTGGTGGGACCACACCTATGGTCCATCTTAAAAGGGTACATGTGAATCTTTCTAAATGTAGAATACGAATGTCGTAACACAATAACTAAGAAAATGCCATGAAGGCTATGTTAACCAGTTTGGTGAAAATATTTCAGATTGTATATAAAACCAGCACACTCTACCCCATGACTGCATTAATGTACACAGCTATGATTTAATAAAATTAAAAAAATAAAAAAAAAATTGAGGTAAAATATATAACTTACCATCTTTACCATTTTTGAATGTACAGTTTGGTAGTATAAATACATTTATATATTTTTTTCCTTCTTTATTCCCTCTTCCCCATTCCAGGAAAGTTTCTTTTGCCCCAGTAGTCCTTGCCAGCTTACTTGTATATCTGCTTTTATGTTAGTATAGGACATGGCAACTAAATTGGTAAAAATTTTTCCTGTTTTCAGTTTAACATACTTGATCGTATTTGAAATATTTGGGGTTTATATTGTGGCTTTCCTTTCTGCTTTTAAAAAATGCTATTAGCGTATACTTTTCATTCCTTGTCATGAGTGAATGTCAAGTTGTAATA